CAAGAAGCAAGAACTGAACAGGATCCACTTTGGCAGCTAATAATAGCAGGGTCTGTCAATATATGCAGTGTACAGTACAGGGAGTCAGCAGTGCAAATTGTGGGATCCACTGTGTTCAGTGCTAGCAGGAGTAGTGTTTTTATCAAATCTGTGATAGAGAGTATAAATCATGGTTGCCCAGTCCCAAGTCTACTTCTCCTGCATTCCCAACAATTTTATAGCTACTCAGTAACCTTTTAATAAATTCTTTTTCTTTAAATTGGCCAGAGTTGGGTTTTGTTGCATGTAACAACCTTGAGACTCTTAGACTAGCACCATCAGCATCACTTGGGAACTTCATAAAAATACAAATTCTCAGGCTCCATCCCAGATCTAGTGAATCACAATCTTTGGGAGTAGGGCCCAGCAGTGTGTGGTTTAATAAATGCTACAGGTGGTTCTGATGCACACTAAAGTCTGAGAACCACTGGTTTACAGGTAGGATCTATGCTACTCTGGATTATTTGGCTGATAACCTATTAATGAGGAAGGGAAACAAGCACTGAGATATCTAGTAAATCCTGGGCCCTTCAGTGCCCCTGGTTTGAGGGTCACAGGATGCTAAGCATTCATAAAAAGACAGAAAAGAACCTCCCAGAACAAAGGATGGTTGTAGTAGCAAGCTGATTAATTCTCTCATATCAAGTGGGTGGTTATGGTATTTTGTTTACATGGGATAGCAAGTAGTCGTTGACTGTGTAATGCTGGGCTTAGAAAGGGGTTTCCTGTGGTTTTTGTACCAATTATCTCTGAGACAGGCTTGAGGTACTGCACTATCTATTAGGTTCTCGGTATGTCCAAGATCAATAAATGCTACTGTAGAAAGCCAAAACAAACAAACAAAACCCTGACAGAGGCAGACTGGAAGTCTTACAGATATTTCTTGGTAGTAAAAAATTTAAATTCTAGATTCAAGGAGGTGTTATTTACACAGCATCCACTTGAAAGTTGCTCTACTGCGCAAGAGGGAAGCCATGAGGAAGATGGAAAAAACTAGGAAGCCATGACATTCCACATCAGTAACACCTGTATGAGCAACTAGTTCTCTAACTACAACAAAATACTGCAAAAATTATCCAGTGGTAACAGAAGAACCAACACCAGCTCAGGATTAGAGAATAAAATAATGGGTTTCACCTGGGGAAAAAAAAGGTGAGCTAGTGGTGATGACTCAGTACTTCCTAAAATACATCAGCCATACCCTTTCAGTCAGTCAGTTACGAGAGTGAAGATGGGCAAGTTGAGGTGGGTGGGACCACTGCCATCCTACCAGGAAGCAGTTATCTTTTTACACCCTTCAAATAATCTATACCTAATGCATTCACTGTAGGTATATTCTATGGGTTTTCAATTTCATTGTTAAATGAAATATTAAATTCATATTTACAGCTCTGCATGTACAAGAATTAATGAGCCCTTTAAATATATACTTCTAATTAAGCAGGCTGGAATTTTTATCCCCTTCCTCAATGCTGTGCCAAGCAGTGTGCTGCTCTCAGAGTAACTCCATCTCTCAATTCTGCTGACTGCCATTGTACACATGCTTAGAAAACCAACCAAAACTTGGAAAACTCAAATTGAGATGCTCAGAGCAATTCTGCATTTTTCTGTTTCTTAAAGTCTAAAACTAGTAAATTTCTTATCTATGATATACTTAATTCATCACATACAACTTTCAATACAACATCAATTATCTAAAACACTCATTAACCAAGATATTTTACTCATTATCTTTTTTACTTGGAAAACATGTCCATCCCAGGAATTTTAACAACAAAAAAACCTGTCCGGATGGATCCTAAGGTCAGTACAGATTCAATCCCAAGATACATATATATTCTGCAGCTGAAGGCAGTCTAACAATGTGGTTAAAAACTTGGACTCTGGAGACAGCCCTAGGTTCAAATTCTTCCCTTAGCAATTACTAACCATGTAACCGTGGATAATTTGCTTAATGTTTATTATCTCACAATAGGAATGATAAACTACTTCCCTTTGAACATTAAAAAAAATGCTTATTAAATGTGTAGCACAGAGACTACCATGTGGTAAACAGTTAACAAATATATTGTTTATATATGTTTGGATCATAAAATTACAAGGATTAAATTACATTCAGTAGACTACTAAGCTATTTTAAAGATTTTCAACAATATCTCCAAGTTAACAAGACCATAGATTAAACATAGAATTCCATTCCATTGGTTTTCTTAGCCATGGTGGGGTAAATATATTCTGCAAAATGGCAGTAAAGACCTATAAAACACTTACTACACGTGGAGTCCAGACCTTGGTCTCTAAACACCACTTCCTGCTAAAACAAACCAGGGTTCCTTGGATAAATGGCTGACTTCAGTAGTACTAAAGCAAGGAAAGTACAAGTCTGAAACACCTTTTTGCACCAGAAAGTAAGGTATTACTTAAAGACTAATGGGGTCATGACAAAAGGATATAGGAGTTGACTTTGAAAGGGCTCCCACTAGCTAAATATGGGGTAATCTAATAATCAAAAAAATAATTACAATATTAAAAATTAAAAACTAACCCTTGAATTCGTAATTTTTTTTTAAGAAAAAAAGGAGGAGGAGAGGGGAAGGTGGGGAAAATTCTTCTATACAGAACACCAGGTAACAGATGTAGAAGGAATATACAACTAGAAATTATCACTGTGTAACAGCAAAGTAACAGTTAATTTAGGCAAGGATCATCAATAAATGCCACTAGGTGAAACACTTGGAAAACGAGATAGCCATACATTCTCCAAGTATCACCTCAAGGATCACTTATAATTTACAGCATTGTACCTTTACAACAAAGAGATACAGGTGATCAAATTTAGCATCCCCAATAATGGAAAGAACTAATAAAATCTATCTTCTGATGGGGCAATACAGGAAGGACACAATACCACCTATGTAGTTTCTCAAGAAAATGACTTAAACTGAATCTAATCATGAGAAACCAGATGAATCCAAGTTACGAAACATTCTAGAAGACAAATGGCCAGACTCTTCAAAAAGTCACATTTACGAACGAAAGAAAAAGGCAGGAGGACTGTTGTAGATCAAAGGAGACTAAAGAGACATGACAACCAGATGTCATGTACCTTGACTGGATCCTGGATTGAAAAATAAAACTATAGGAGACACCTTGGTGATAACGGTGAGGGGAGAGTGTCATCGGGTCTGCAACTTACTTTCAATTGGTTTAGCAAAATAAAGTAGATGATAGAGAGAAAGTGATATGCTAGAGAGAATATGGCAAAATATTACTGTGAATGAAGGGTATATAATTAAGGGCACTATTCTTGTAACATTTTAAATTTATTTTAAATTTAGTTTTAAATTTTTCAAAATACAAAGAAGGCGGGTGGAGAACACATGACTATTTCCTTTTTCCATGTGGTAACAGATATTTCTAACTTTACTTAAATTTCAAGTCTTGTTTAATGATCTGCACTTTTTTTTATTATCTTTTCCCATGCATCCCTGATCATCACCATATGTTGATCTTTGTCCATGACACACTGCCCCCAGCAATGTTCTCTGGAAAAGCCTACCTCATTCCATCACTATATTAGAATCTAGTCTTGTCTTGCTATAGATTTGAGTGTACGTGTCTCACAGTAAACTGAAACTTTTTATTTCTAGGCTAAAATATGTTGACAGACTAAATTACTTGAATATTAAATTTTCTTAATAAAAACTAACATTAAAAATTATACTCTGGGGGCTAGCCAGTGGTGTAGTGGTTAATTCTGTATGTTCCACTTGGGCAGTCCAGGGTTCATGGGTTCAGATCCCAGGCACAGACCCATACACCGCTCATCAAGCCATGCTGGGGCAGCGTTGCACATACAAAATAGAGGAAGACTGGCACAGATGTTCTCAGCAATAACCTTCCTTAAGCAAAAAGGGGAAGACTGGCAACAGATGTTACTTCACAGTCAATCTTTCTCACAAGAAAAAAAAATTATACTCTGAAATTTTAGTTTTTAGAGATGAAAGTCTCAAATTATATGCTTAAACATTAGAATTCCAAAAATTAATAACTGAAATGAGAATGCGTCACAAGAGCAAGCATCCAATACTTACAAGTTCAAACTATAGTCTGAAGTTTACTTTTCTCATCCCACTACATATTAAGAAGTCACTCAAGATTTGCTAATCCCAATCCCACATGCACTTTTCAATTCTTATCTTTCTTCACATTCTCTATAGTATTTGACTGCTGACACATTCATCATTCATTCACTCCCACCTCTGATATCTTGTTCCTCCCATCCCTTCTGTAAGGTGGTTTTCTCTGGGTTTTTGTCCTAATGAGAAAACAGCAACGGTTACAAGCCCAGAATGTGAAATCAGAATGCCTAGGGCTGAATCCTAACTTAACTATTTCCCAGAAGTGTGAACTTAGACAAATTAATTTCTCTGTGATTCCATTTTCCAAAATGTAAAATGTGGATAATAACTTCAGAGAGTTTTTGAAAGGATTAAAAGTGTATAAAGGTTTTATAACAGTGATAGGCATCCGATAAAGACCACAGCATACAAGTCTTAACCATTCTTATTGCTATTACCACCTTTCTGCTCCAGCTGCTCCTCAGTCTCCCTCACAGGCTTCACCTTCTTTCCTTTTTCCCTTCAACGTTTATAAAGGTTATATTCCCAGAGCTGTGACATCTATCCTTTCTTTACTGGAGACTCTCCACCATCAGCAATATCCTTCACATCCATAGCTTCAATTACCATATACAGGCTAATGACGTCCATATTTGTATTGCATTTCCCAGAGCTCTTTAGTAAACTTACAACCCACACTTCCTACTACACACTGAACACTTTCACCTTGGTGACCCATTAGCATCTCGAGTTCAATACATCCAAAGCTAAACTCATTATCCATACACCCCTACCTGTATCTTGCTCCCCAGGTTCCCTGATTTAGGTGACAGTACTTACCTTCAATGGCTCCAGCCAGGAATCTGTCAATTCTACTTCCTAAACATCTCTGTTTACCATCCCAACTGGAGCAGTTTAGGGATTCACTATTTCTCACTAGATAACAGAAAACAGCCTTCTTGCCTCTACTCCGGCCTGTGATCCATTTGTCATAGTGCTGTCAGAGCTATCTTTCTAAAAAGCAAATACAAACTCCTCAATAAGGAGAACACGGTCTTCCACAATCTGAATCCTAACCACGCCTCCAGCCTCATCTATTCTACTATTAATTCTTGTCCCGATGTTCCAGCTGCCCAGGCAACTTGGATGTTTGTGCCAAGCGCATCTTGTGGCCTTGGCAAATGCTGTTCCCTTTTCAGGAAACACATATCGTCCCTTCTTCATCTAACTTTCACATATTCTTATCTATACTCAAGACAGGGTTCCCTTTTTTAAAACAACTTGAATGGTACCTGCCTACCCTTTACTCCTCTCTCCCAACTGTCCTAAAAACTCCTGAGCACCTGATATTTACAACTATCAAAGTGCTTAACCAGCCAGTATTTTAACTGTCTGTGTATTTGCCTATCTCCTCTCCTAACGAAAGAACTTTAATCTTTCATTCCTGGCATTTAAAAACAGTGCTTTTTAGAATCATTTAAGCCTCAGAATCATTTAAGGAGCTCATAAATAATCCGAACTCCACTCAGCACGTGTGACACTCATAAACTCTTTACTAAACAATTTACTATGATGAAGCCTTCTCATATCAGTTGAATGCTTTTAAGAAGCCAAACTAGGTTACCATCCTCTGAAAACAAAAGTCTAAGTTACAGAACAGAATGGTATAAGAAATCACATATCAAGTTCACCAGTTTTCATTCTATATAAAATCTGAGAATTATAAATGTCCATTAATCTGACACAGACACCCTAGGGTACTTCACATAGCACAGGCAAGATTAAACAAGACACTTATTTAGGAAAATATTAAGCATCTATGTAAACGTCAGTACAGAAACAAAAGTTCAAAGCTTAAAATATAGCCTAAAGTTCACTGTTCTGATAAACAGAAAGCAGAGGGGTGCTAGTGGACTGAGGAAGTCACTGATGAATCATGTGACCTTGAGCAAGACATTTTACCTCTGTGGAGTGCAGCTCCTTTATCCTGTATGCAACTCATTTCACTAGCTCTTGACCCCACCAAGTATTTCTGGGAATGCTATATATATGCTCACAAACACGTGCTAGGCAGTGTTGCTACTTCTGCTGTGAACTAACTGTCCTGTCCCATGAGCCCCACTGTCTCTGCCATATGCTAAACCCTGAAGCCTTCCAAGTGCCAAAAGTTTCAGTTTATGGCAAAGTGGTAGAGAACATCTAGTAGTGGAGAACATCAAATAGGAGGTGCTTATGCCTCAATAACCTCAAGTTCTTAATAAAATGGCTTGTTTAGTTTTTACTTACAGTCAGACCTAAGTTTACACAGGCTGGTCCAAGGTAAAGGCAAATGATAACCATAATGTTATATAGTTCACAATCACTGTATCTGTTCCAAAGGACAGGACTTTGTCATATAGTCAAACTCATCATGCCTGGCTGCTCCTTCTCTATGCAATTCTCTCACAAACAAAATCTTACGGTGTCTAAACTCCTGGATGCCCAGTTTTTTTCCTCAAGTTGGAAATCTCCAATACATGTAAAATAAGGTGCCTAAAGGCCACATCCAGATCTAACATTCCCTTTCTATCCAGTTGAGCTTTCAAATGAAGGTCAAAGGGCCCCATAAGCATAAATAAATTCTTTTACTTCCCAAGGAGTCCTCTGAATGTGCATCTGCTATAGAAAAGCACAAGAGAATCTTTGTTCTGTCACCCTCAGGGATGTGCACAGTGACTCACTCAAAAACGACTCCAAGTACAATGGTGCTCTTTTGCCAATTCAGAAAAAACCTCTACAAGAGTATATTTAAAGACCATTATTCTAAATTCTGAAACAGATTAATGATTAATTACAAGAATACTAAATTTTACCTTCTTTCAGTTCTACCTCCCTAATTTTTGGTTAAAAAAAATAAGCTACTTTAAAAAAAATCTTACTCTGATTGTAAATAGGCAATTATTTTAGCACCTAGTTGAGTATGAAATTTTTGCCCAGCAAAAGTTTTAAGTCATCTGATTAAAAGCATACAAAAAGTTAAAACTGGCATCTATCTGCATTTCTCTGTGAAGTTTCCTGCAAATGTGTTTTAAAGCCATATAAAAAAGGAGTTACCGTTTCAAGGTATACTAAGTTTCCTCTATCTGTGTTGTCTCTAAAGAACTGCCAGGTAAAACACATAGTTTGTTTGTGGTAATTGTACTTTATTCATGTTTTAGTAGGAGAATATTAATAGCAAATTTTGCCATTTTGCCAAACTTCATCAGTCTTTTTATCTCAGTACTTCAAATATTAGACCAATAGAAATCACTATTAGAATGGTAGGGGAACAATATTTTTCACATTCCTTTTCTTTTTAAAGTCATTTACTCTACAAATATTTAGGTACCTACTATATGCCAAGTTTTGCATGATGGAAACTGGTAAATAAGGATACAGAGCAGCCAGAGACAAAAATAATCAAAATCATAACACAGTACAGTAATTACTGTAATGGCAGAGGAAGGTGCAAAGTATCCTGGGAACAAAAAGAAGGAGTGGAAAAGTGAGGAAGGAAAAACACACAATTTTGCAGGTGAGCAATGGAGATGAGATTTCAGTGAGGAGTTTAAATTTGTCAAGCCAGAGGATGACTTAGCAGTCAGAGGAAATAGCGATCTATCACGTACGGCTACCGTTTATTGAGCGTTCGTTATGACAGGCACTTTGCTAAATACATATACTGTCTCATTCAATCCACACAACAATCCCCAAAAGATAGTCAATCTTAAAGAAGTTAGGTAACTTGCCTAGGATGGCTCAAATTCCCAGTGCTGGAGCCCAGATTTGAAGTAGGCGTGTCTAAACACAAAATTCCAGGACCACAAACACTGCACCATACTTTGCCATCCTATGTGGAGCACGGAGACAGGAGAATATGGCACAATGGACAATGCTTCTCACCTCTGTCTATATATCAGAACTACTTAAGAAGCTCTCTATAAATACCAATGCTTCACACTCCATTCCAGAAGGTTCTAATTCAAGAAATGAAGGGTAGACCTGGGCATTAAAAAAAAATACCCCATATTGGGCTGGCCCCGTGGCCGAGTGGTTAAGTTCACGCACTCCGCAGCAGGCGGCCCAGTGTTTCGTTAGTTCGAATCCTGGGCGCGGACATGGCACTGCTCATCAGACCACGCTGAGGCAGCGTCCCACATGCCACAACTAGGAGAACCCACAACGAAGAATACACAACTATGTACCAGGGGGCTTTGGGGAGAAAAAGGAAAAAATAAAATCTTTAAAAAAAAAAAAAAAATACCCCACATCGAGAAATAGATATAGCCTAGGTTGAGAAGTACTGTGTTAGGATACTTATAAGTAGTTAAAATGCATCTGTTTGGGGTGGGGAATGATAAGGCGAGAATACAGGCAGAAGATCATGGTGGACTTTATCTTTCTCCTTCCCATCAGAGCTAAACTCACAAACAGTATACTTGCCGCCTTCGCTTTCTTGAGTCTTATTCTCTCTTCAATCCACTGCAATCAGGCTCTTTACTAATCAGTCCACTGATATCATTCTAACAGAAGAAATCCAAAGAATGTATCAGTCCTAACTTTTCTTGAACTCTCTACAGTATCTGACATTAGTTATTCGGGACTTCTTTCTGAAAAGCCCTCCTGTAACAGCACTCTTCTGTTTTCCTTCTACGTCTCCAACAATTTCTTTTCATTCTCTTTTGCAGTTTTCCTTTCCTTTCCCCATCCCTTTAATATTAGAGCACCCAAAGGGTCTGTCCTCCTATTCTCACACTGCTTTTTCACCCTGGGCAATCCTACCAATCCCATGACTTCGCCTAAGACCCATATGCTGTAGACTCTCATACCAACTCAGACCCAGAGCCTCGTGTGATCTGAAGCTCCACACGCTCACTGAATATCTTTATCTGTGTCTCAAACCTTTTCCAAAACTGAATTTTCTCCCCACTCTAATTCTGCTCCTTAATAACACACTCTAGGGCCAACCCTGCAGCCTAGTGGTTAAGTTCAGGGCATTCCACTTTGGCAGCCTGGGTTCGGTTCCTAGGCACAGACATACACCACTCGTCGGTGGCCACGCTGTGGCAGCATCCCATATATACAAAACAGAAGGCTGGCACAGACGTTAGCTCAGGGAAAATCTTCGTCAGCAAAAAAAATAATAATGCACTCTTATACATAGTTACCCAAATCAGGATCCAGAAATTATCTAAACTTCTGCTTTGTTCCCACACCCAGTCCAAGCCTGTTCCCAACAAGCAAAAGACAGGAGGTTTTGCCAGACTTGACCCGACACTATTGCAGAGGCTTGAGAGGAACATAAGGACAGGGTGTATCTGGGCCCAAACTGCAGTTATCCCATGAGTAGGCCTGGACAGAGTGAGGCAGACAGTCCAAAAGGGTAGACAAAAGGGTGAGTCAGGATATAAAGGATAAGCAGATGAAGAGGAAAGTCCTAAGAGAGGAGGTTCAAAGTGCGGTCCAAAGGTAAAATGCAAAGAAAGAACTAACGTAGCTTCACAGTCCTCTTGGCTGCCACTGTGTGATTCCACTCAAATGAAGCTGAAAAGCAGGCAGAACAAATTTATGCTGAAAAATGTCAGAATAGCGGTTTCCTTTGGGAAAGGGTATTCACTGGGAGGGGCAAAAGGGGAGTTTCTGGAGTGGTAGTAATATTCTATATCATCACTTGGGTAGTAGCTAAATATATTTGTAAATTAAGCTGCCTATATACTTAGGGTATGTGGACTTTACTGCATGTGTATTATAGTCAATTTCAAACTTTAAATAAAAAGTCTGGTGGGAGGCAGACACTCTCGCTCCAGTCAGTGATAATCTTGGCCAGTTCTACCTCCTCACTATCTCACACCCCGCCTACTGCATTTGTTTCCCATAGCCAGACATATCTCTTGGTTTCCCTGTTATCTTGATATAATCATTAATAGTCTTACCTTTCACACAGAAAAGTATCCCGATTTAGACAAAATGTTATATGTTCATCCCAACCTATAAGCCTCCCTGCCTCTAGTGTGGTCCAGCCCTGTCCCCATACATCTTCAACAATGCTTAGAGCAATCTTTGTAAAACTGATCTTATTTCCAGGCTCTGAACCTTCTAATGGTTCTCCTTTACTTATAAGATTGAGTCTAAATCCCTGAAATGATCCAATCCTGCTAGTACATCCAGCTTCAACATTTAACATCCAACACCACGTACCACCCCTTGCAATACCTCATATACTAGCCCAGTGTTTTGCAACCTTTTTTCATTATCACATCCCTCCCAAAGAGCATTTTTAGACAATTTTTCCTAGTTGCCATTGCATCTCGAATTAAGTACTAAGGAATAAGATTTTGTCCGGTAAGGGGTGAGTTTTAGAGGACCACAAACCACAATAATATCTAAGATTTTTTTCACTCCCCCCTAAAAACCAATTTCTGTCCCTTTGAGGATGATATCACCTCCACTGGGAATGCCAGCTCTAGACTTACAGATTGGCTTCTTGTTCTACGAATGTACCTCGTCTGCCACCATTAGTGCCTTTGTTCCTGTTGCTCTCTGCCTGAAATGACCTCTTTTCTGGATATCATCCAGTTATTCATAATGTTTAAGATCCAATTTAATGCTCCTCCAAGAAATCTTTCCTTCCCCGACTTGCAGTCCCAAAGTGCCCTACCCATACCTTTGTCCCTAATAACCTCAACATTTCACTAAAGCTTTCAGGTCTGTCTCCTAACTCATTGAAGAATAGGGACTATGCTCAATTTCTCTCTACAACCTTGGCTTTTAGTATTACGTGTGACATATCATTTGCTAAATGAAGGGATAAATTAATGTTATCATCTGGGTGAGGTCACCACACATCTCAGTTTACCTGAGACAGTCTCTCTTTAACCCATTATTCTGACATAAATATTAACAGCACCTCTTTTAATTCTCAAAAATAATTTGGATGATAACTTATATTGCTAAACTCTCTGGGCAGTGGGAAATAATTAAATTATGAGCAAGAGTAGAACATGATCAGATCCGAGTATTTAAAAGATCGCTCTAGCAGTAATAGGACAATAAATGACTCAAGCAAAAAATTCAAGGATAAAAGAGCCTGAACTAGGGTAGTAGAGCAGGGGAGGAAGAGGCAGAGAGATTCAGGACATAAAATCAACAAGGTTTACCAGCCAGTTGGATATAAAGAGGAAGACAGCAGGGGGAATCAAGAGTAAAAACAAATTTCTAGATTGAGCAACTGGGGCAGTCAGTCACCAACAGAACATTGAGGAGGAGGAATGATGATGGCTTCAACTTAGGACTAGTGATTGAAGGACAATTTAGGGGTTAGATATATAGATCTGAAAAGCACATGAAAGAGGGTAAGATGGACTATATAATACTAGGTGTCAGCCTATAAAAATCAGCTGAAGCCAAGTTGCTGAATGAGACTACCCGGTATGTACAATATCAGCAGTTCTAATGAATACAAAGTATTATCTGTCTTTTTTTTTGGAGGAAGATTAGCCCTGAGCTAACATCTGCTGCCAATCCTACTCTTTTTGCTGAGGAAGCCTGGCCCTAAGCTAACATACGTGCCCATCTTCCGCTACTTTATATGTGGGACGCCTGCCACAGCATGGTTTGACAAGCAGTGCAGAGGTCCACATCCGGGATCCGAACCAGCAAACCCCAGGCCACTGAAGCGGAACATGTGAACTTAACCATTATGCAACCTGGCCAGCCCCAGTACAATCATTTTGACATGAGGACTTTACAAAATTTCAAAATTTTGTTTTGTTTAACATATTTATTGACCATTTAATATATG